ATTGATGTCGCTTCGCCGTTGATCTGAAAAAAACGGCCTGATTGTCGATGCGCATCGTCATTGGTAGTTCTGGTTTATATGACGATCTCACGCAGCATTTCACGGACTCCTAGCAGCTCTAGTGCCACTTCGTATGCAGCCACGAACTCAGCTTCCATAGTGCTGAGTGGAACGCCACCTTGCTTCTTCGCACACCAGCTCACAACCATGCCGTTAAGTCGCACAACGCCGCCGGTGATAGACTTGCGATCCTGTTTGCCTGCTGCAAATTCTGCATCACTGAACGACTCGAGCGTCGGTGCGTCTCCAGCGTCGCGCTCTGCCACCATCTCGGTCTTCATTGCGATTGTCCCCTTCAAGTATCGTGCAATCCGCTTGGCAAGTTTCCAGTCGTGCACACGCGGTTGGTGCGTCTGTCGTGTTGCTTTGTGTAATGCAAACGACGCGTCCGGTATCGTGCATCTTGTGATCCAAAGTAGCGAGCCGACTAGAGACTGGAGCTACCGGATCGTCGAGTGCTTGATGCGTTGTTATTGGCGAATAGTTCGCTGTCAGTATCTTGCACCTCGTACACGTCTGCTCCAATTGGCGAACGCGTGGTATTCCGTCGCTTAATCCATGCTCTCGTAGCAGCTCGACGATGGCCCCTATTTGGTCTAAAACGTAACTCCCACTTGCCGTCTTTTCCACACGCATTCCGAGAAACTTCGCAACTGGACCGAGGTTTTCTATCGATAGGCACTGCATCACGTCGAAAAACCACTTTACTACTGCCGTAAACTTTCCAGTGACAAGTATGTAGTCGACGTAGACTCCTGCAACTACGAGCTCTGCGTCCACTCGCCTGTAGTATAAGCAGCTGTCGCTGATGCACTGCGTCTACCCGCCTTCGACGAGTCGTTGATGCAACAGATGACTCCAGAGTCGGTCGGCCTGTTTGAGGCCATGGAGAATTTTGCGTAGCTCAAGAGCTAGGTCCTTCATGCTCGTGACGCCGAGCTCGCGCAAGCGCGCCGCTGGTACGTCCATGCCGTTCGGGATGTGCAGTAAGATGTCGAGGTGCAGCTCCTTCGACGCTTTGACATACGAAATTGGTATGTCACCGTGCTGAGCCGGGACACCCACGTCGCAGCAAGTGCCAGGATTACTTTCACTGTGGCATATCCATGACCGCAGCAAAGGTCAGGAAGTAATCAGCGCTCAGAACTTGCTCGTTACCACAGGGAACCAAGCGGGATTTGCGACGTTCGAGATCACCGTCCGCGGTCATTTTATTCTTAAAGACCCAATTGAATGCAAGACGTTGCTGCACTCGAACGAAGGACAATTGTCCACACGTCGTTGCCCTTGAGAGCCGCGATCTCCTCCTCCATCGCCATAAGCCAGTTTAAACACTGCGTGCTATTGATCGCTTCGCCGTAGTTCTTCGGATCGGGTTCGAACACGTGGCTCACCACGTCGGTGCTACGAGCGGCCTCGTCCTGGCTCGTAGCGGACTTCTTCGATGCTGCAAGTGTGGCGATCGGTTATCTCGTCCACTTGTGCTTTTTCTTGGCTTCTTGCCAGACGCCTTGTGCTCACGTTGCTTCGCATGCACTGTCTCTTGAGCGTCGCTGCTGGTGTTCGCATCTGCACGGTCGTCGCTCTCGAGCTCGCGCTGCAATTGTGCGTTCTGCGATTTTGGCAGTGTATCGATGTTCTTGCATGTTGTGTGACGACAACAACGTTGTCCATGAGCAAGTAAACACGGAACCCTTTCGTTTCGTGGCTTTGGCCAACGATGGTGCCGACTTGAGCGCGATGGGCGAACAAGTCCTTCCGTGGATCACTGTACACCGTGCAATGCGAACCAAAGAAGACAATTTCGCGCCGATCTGGAGCTCGCTTCGTCAAGACTCCAATTGGGGATGCGCGCTTCGGGTTCGCGCTCGTCGGTCTTCTGTTGAGTATGTATGTCGAATACTCAGCAGCGTCTCCCCAGAAAGTCAAAGGCAGTCCCGACGCAAAGATCATCGCCCGCGTACCGTCCGGTTCATACGTTTGGCTTTTCCGTTGGACGCCTGATGGCGCACCTCACTCACTTGGCGAGAGACACCACTCTGCTTCAAAACAAGTCGACTTTCTGGTACTCTCCTCCGCCGTCTGTGCGCAACATGGCGACCTTGCAATCGAACTCTCGCTCGAAGAAAGCGAGGAAATGCTTGAGCTTCTTTGCGGTGGCATCCTTGGTCTTAGCCAGGAAGATGCGGCAGTAGTTACTCTTATGATCGACGAAATTAACAAGATACAGGTTTTGCAAGCGATCATCCGGGGTCAATGTCCCTTTGAGATTGGAGCATATCACTACGCAGACATGATCAATTGGAGAGTGCGCGCCGGTGTTTTTCTTGCTTTGGCTGTTCTTTGTCTGTTTGCTCTGAGCACACGTGATGCACGTCAAACGTCTGATCCTCAATGCGAATTCCACTGCCCGGGTTCTTCGAGATCCTCTCAATCGTGTCATACGACAAAATCGAATCTTTGGTGGAAGTTTACGAGTGTTGCTTCTTGCACATCGGGCGACACATCTGCCGTCTCCTCCTCCTCAAGAGCAGCAAAAATCACGTCTGTTGTCCTGATCGCGCTGGACGTCTCGACAACCAGAACACTATTGCGCATCGTAACGTCAAACGCGACGTGTCCTTCCGATCGCCGTACGAACTCACGCCCATCGTCAGTGTATGTGATTGCGTACCCAAGCTGCTCGAGCTTGCCGTAGCTGATAAGATTGTGCGCAAGACTTGGCGCGTAGTAAACGTCCTACAGCTCGATCTGACGCTTCTCTCCGCGCGCTGTCACAAACAGGCGCACCCGTCCGACCTTCGTAAGAACGAGCTTCTTGTTGTCAGCAAGATCTATCTCATCGTTGTACTACTTGATGTCGATGAGTAAACGATTGTCGCTCACGATGTGGCGACTGGAGCCGCTGTCAAGGATCCAGTCGGAGCTCGCACCTTCTCGGCTGTCGTTCATGGACAGCAGTAGCACTTCTTCTTTGTCGTCTTTGCCCTTCTTCTCCATCTTCTTTAGGAGGCAGCTCTCTATAAATGCCCCTGCTTTTTGCAGTTGTGGCACGTGCGCGTTTCCTTGCGCTGTGTCGAGTCATTTGCGACTGCGACGACCTCGCGACCCAGTGACTTGCCGGCACGACTGTCGACCTCGACTGCTTGAGCATAGTGCGCAAGCTCCTGCTTGGCGCAAGTAGTCGATGCGTCCTGCGTCGAACTTCGCCATGAACACCGTCGACCCCCCCAAATCCGCCGACGCATAGTGTACTATGATTTCAAGTATCCGCGCCTCGGCACCTCCTCCACACGCGTCGCTCAATGCGACCATGTAGAGATAGTGAGTAGGCCACGCCCTCTTGTGGTCCTTCTTGGCCGTGAACAGCTTCATCGAATGCGACGCTGTGATCGTCGTCCGGAAAGCTTGATACATGCGCTCCATGATGTGGTCGAGCGTCGGGAGCTGCTCCCACCAAATATCGACTTGCTTATTGTAGTATCGCACGGCGATTCCGCCAAGGCAATTCCCGAAGAGATTAACGCTGACATCTTCATCCCACGGGAAGCCGCACGCCTCCTGTGAGAATTACACGCACGGATGGACGAGCATCCTTAGTCTTGAAAGACGGCGCCGAGTCCTTGCTACAGTTCAGAGCCGTCAAACTTTCGGATCGCTAGGTTGCGCTGACACGCGTCTGGCGTCCGATACCCTTGCAGTACTGGCGCAGGTGCAGCAACCGGTGATGTCGTTGCCTGTTGTTAAATTGGCGCATACGCTTGCTGTGCGTAGGCTTTTGCATCGCCGGGGCCTGTTGCTGCTGCTGCGAGGTACTTGCAAACCGAGAGGCTCGAACAAAGATTGTCCCATAAGCAAAGCTCGCAGACGCGGCCGCGGAGCTGCTGGCGGCTCATGCGATCGTCGTGGCGGCATGAACTCGTGTGCTTCGCGGTTCATTGGTCCTCGACCAATCCCTCTGCCGAGAGCGGAGTGAAACAGTCCACTGTCGATGGCGCCGCGTAGGCGCTCGTTCTCATCAATTTGCATATGCGACATCTCAAGCCGGTCCTGCAGCTCATCATGTTATCAAGAGCAGCGATAATTCGTGCGCTGATGCCCGATCTCTCGCCCCTTTTGTGAGCGGGAGAATCGATGATCATCGCAGCCGCTGGCGCAGCTGGTGTAGCAGCAGCTGCAGCTGTCGGTGCGACAGCCCTTTCGTGACCGTCTCCGCGACGCGTGATGCAGTGCTTGGCGTGTCGTTCGTCTCAGAGCCAAACATTGGGTTCATAAATGTACGTTGTAAAAGGCAAATTGAATTCTGGCATTCATTCACAGCTCTCCGCGCTCGCTATTTGTCGATCTCTCTCGCTCGCTAGCTCTTCACTACCACTCATGCAACCTTCTCACTGCGCTCGCACCATACGATCCAGAAAGCACGCGATCCTTCCACTCGTCGCGACTGCTCACGTCACGCCATCGCGACTGCTCACACCTCGCCATCGCGACTGCTGCCGTACGTCGTCTGCTTCTCTCTTCTCGCTGCATACTGAAACTCAGTGTGCCCAATACTGACCTTTCGCATCTTCAATGCAACTCTTGCGATCATGCATTTGCACAGAGCGACTTCTTTTAACACAAAGGAGATGCAAGAACAATTTTATAAGAAACCATAATATTGTCGAATATTGTTCGTTATTAAAGTAATTGAATCAATACTTCATAGCCGCAACTAGGAAATGGTAGCAATAAGTTTTTTTGTTTAAGTTTACAGATTTAATACAACTTTTAATCAGCACACTCTACATCATTTTACTATATTTCTAAATACTACAGAAATAAGCCATACTATACATGATTTTAACCAATCAGACCCATTTTTTAGAATCTTTACATATATAAATATATCAGTATTTGACCCGAGGGAGAGAGAAAGAGATTTAGAAATTGAGTGCGTAATGTCGTCTACACCAAAGAGTGATAGCCATGAAAGTAATGTATGTTTACAGCTACAATAATTCTGATATAATAATCAGTATAAAAATTAGACACAATACTAATTTTTATTTCAATACCTTCTATTTTTTTTCTTGCAAACAGGACGAACATGTGCCAGTTCAAGAACCTCTACTTAAATATGAGCGTATTGGCAGCCATTTTCATGCTATTTTTAAAGAGGATTCACTGAGTTGTATTGCTCTTCATGTAAAATTTCTATGTGTGGGCACATATGGAGGGAATGTGTTACTATTGGAATTAGACGGAAGTTTTCTTCGTCGTTTGCATCAACATTACAAAAAAGTGAATCAAGTTTGTATCGATGAAACAGGTCAGGTAAGAAGACGAAGAAGAAGAAGAAGAGACAATTTTCAAGCTTTTTGTTGCCATTTTAACACTTTTCAACTTGATTTTTGATGTAGTATATCGCCTCCTGTTCAGATGATGGAACTGTTGCTGTTTACACACTTTTTTCAGGTGTGTCGGGATCTTCTCGAGTTGATGACATTACTGGACATAAACATGCTAGTAATCAAACTAGTGACGTGGTGAGACCAAGGCATTTGGTATCAAGTACAGGTGGAGAAGTTAATATCTACAATTATTTCAATGCAGTATATGCAGTGCAATTGGAAGATAAATATGCTATGAAACGGGAAAAGACTTTTGCATGTGGTGGAGTTGGAGGACAATTAATTATCAATAAGAAGGGGTGGATTATTGACAAGGAGAGCACAGTGCATGAAGGGGAAGGCCCAGTGCAACAAATTCGCTGGAAAGATGGACTTGTAGCATGGGCTAATGATTGGGGAGTCAAAGTGTATGACTCGGAAAATGATCAACGTGTGACGTACATTGAACGACCTCCAAATTGCCCACCATTGGAACTTTGTCGTTGTAATTTGGAGTGGCAGGTAAAAAATGACGTTCTGCTTGTAGCGTGGGCACACACGTTGCGTGTAGTGACATTCAAAAGGGGATACTCGAATCAGCCGTCATCGCCAACATCAGCTGCTGCATTAAATGCTGTCGAACATTCAGCTGGTGCAATTACGGCGGAAGTGGTGACACTGCTTACGTTTGATTTCTTCATTGCTGGAATAAGCCCGTGGGGTGGTGGATCAATTGTCTCAGTGTTGGCCTTTCGACCTCCTGGATCGTCGGCTATAGGCCCACGAGGCATGTCCACGAAAGTTGAAGGAGAAGGTGAGAGTGGAGAAATGCCATATCCAGAAGTTCACGTGGTACGGCTGGATGGCAAACAAGTAAGCGCAGATTTGCTGAATCTCAAGGGCTACCAGCGATTGCGTGCATCCGATTATATGATGCCTACTCTTCGCTATGTCCATGCACACCAATCCGATATGGAATCGACCGATCCATCGTCAATTTATGACGCTGGATATGGTCAACTCGCGTACGTGTGTACTCCGAAGGACGTCGTTATCTGTCGACTTCGTGATGTCGACGATCGCGTGCAGTGGGCATTGGCACGGAAGCAGTATGCTAGAGCACTTGATGTAGCTCTTCGTGATCCACGTGCTCTGCGTCGCATGGTACTTACTGATGTGATGGAAACGTATCTTGGTGACTTGCTGCGCCAAAAGAAATTTCAGAAAACTGCTGAGGAGATTCAGCGGCTTTTTATTGGTGGCGGCGATGAATACGCTAAGCTTTGGGAAAAGTACGTGTATGTGTTTGCTCAGCGAGGGCACCTGAGTGCAATTGCACGCTACATGCCAACAGCGAGCCCACGGTTGCCAAAGGTGCAATACGAAATGGCGTTAAAGCATTTCCTTGATTCAGATCCAGGTCAACTCCTCGAACTCATCCGGAAATGGCCAAAGCCGAGGCGTCAGGATGCCATAACGGTGAAGCAGCAATCTGAAGGCGACATTTCTGATGTTGCTCCGGAGTATACCGAGACGATGCACGTCTTTGAACCTCTTTACGATGCCCAGGCATGGATTAACCAGCTAGAGACAGTTGTGCGCCGCCGGCGTATTGCTGAAGCTGATGTGAGTCGCTTGAGCGTGGAGACGATGTATTTGATGGAGGCGCTAGCTGAACTATACACAGCTACGGAGCAATATGACCATGCGCTGCGCATTTACATAAGTCAAGGCGAGTTTTGCTCCAACAAGGAGTTCGCATTCAAGCTGATTACAGAGCACCAGTTATGGTCACTTGTTGCTAACAAGGTGGTCAACCTCATGCGCATCGATAAGGCAATGGCTGTACGCATGCTTGTGAACCAGACAGAGCAGCTCAAGATTAGTGACATTGTTGTTCAGCTTGAAGGTGAACCCGAGCTGCTGCACACCTATCTTCACGAACTTGTTTTATACCGCTTGGGAGAATACAATTCGGAAATTTACTCGGCGCTGCACGAGAAGCAGGTTGCACTGTATGCTGAATATGCGCCGGAGTTCCTGCTTAAGTTTTTACAGACAAGCAACTTCGTGCCTTTGGAAAAGGTAATGGGTCGAGGTTCAGCTGCACAGGCATGATTTTTACTTGTGGCTGACAATGTTTGTTGCTTCATTATCCCAGGCTTATAGGTACTGCAGTGAACATAGTCCTCCGCTTTGGGACACGATGATTTACATCCTCGGTCGCATGGGGCAGCACAAGAAAGCACTGGATCTTATTTTGACGCAGCGCGGTGATATTAACCAGGCCATTCAATTCGTGCAGGACCACGATGAAGGTCTATGGGATTATCTCATTGATATGAGCCTAACCAGTAAAAACAACGTCGAGGAATTGATGAAGTTTGCTTCGCAGCACAAGATTGACCCGATCAAGCTTATTCGCAAGGTGTTATATGCTGTAACGCAGAGATTTTATCGCATATCTGACTGTTGGGTGATGATGATGATGACAGATTCCTGATGACATGGAGATTGACAATCTCAAGCAAAAGCTAATCGTGATCATCAGCAACTATCGCCTGCAGGTACGTCTGTGGCACTTGTTCTGTGATTTGTATTGCATTAGCGCTAATCTGTATCTTGCTTTGGGTTTACCAGCAAAATCTCTGCGTCGGCTCTCGCAAAGTATTTGACAGTGACCGCGTCGAGCTGCTCCACCGACAAGTCGCAGCGCACAAACGTGGACGTCGTGTTGCAGTTAAAAAGTCGTGTGCAATCTGCAATGAATTGCTACGAGCACCATCGTCTGGTATGGAAACTGTCCATGCGTGTGTGTTTGAGTGCGGTCACTGCTACCACCTCCCATGTCTTGAAGAGAAGATGCGCATGTGGAAAAGCACCGACGTCGTAGAGTCAGGCAATGTGACTCGCGGTTTAGGTTGCTTTGTGTGCGACCACAGCACGCGCGCTTTTGCTCGTTCCGGTGATTTGAACCAACAAATAGCAGCGCTAATGTCTCCACCAGCACGAGGAGTGACAGAAGATCAGCTCCAGCGTGCCAAGGACATTATCCTGACTACCGTGGCAAGTAAAGTCGAGTGAGAAGGTTACAGACAGAGTGGAAATGGAGGGAATAAATAGCAATGAGTCAGCATGCAGTGATTGATTACCACTTGCTGGACTGTTCTAACAGTGCAACGTCCTACTATTTTTTCTGACAGGGCAGACACAAGACAGCGGTGTGAAGTCCCTTAATTCGCATGATATTTTATTTATCGGCAGTCTCATTGCTGATCCTCCGAGAAACAAACGCCTTTGGAAGCCATTAACATTGCAGCAACTGGATCAAGTCAACGTCACTACCCCTTGTCCCGACACAAGTGTCCATGTACGTTCCACTTATTCTTCCTCGTCTTCTCCACCAGCTGCAGCACGTTGAGCAGCACGACGACGAGCTACACGACCAGGACGACCTTGACCGTAAGGCGACGTGACTGCAAAGTCAATGTGCTTCTCCGAGTCCATTCGAACAAGGAACGATGGCACATCCACGAGTTGTTTCCCGACACGAATATGACGTTGCTTGATCAACACCCGAGCGTGATGAATTGACTTGGCCAAATTTTGTTTAAAGACCTTTGTCTGAAGACGACGTTCCAGGAGCTTTTGCACATTCAACCGAAGCACAAAATCCAATTCATTTTCATCTTCCGACAACATTCCAAAGCGTTTCAGACGACGGAGTAAAGCCGAGCCTTCAAACAAACGTTTTGGGTCCTTTGGGTCCAGTGTCAAGAGCTCTCGAGCGGCTTTTCGAAGCTTCGAAAGTGCAAATTGAACACGCCAAATCTCACGCTTGCAACGAAGTCCATACTCGCCTAAAAGCTTTAGTTCTTGATCAAGACGTTCCTTTTCAAAGGCACGTGAAGGCGTACGATACGTCTTGCGATAATTGCGATGACGCGAAATCTTGGGCATTGTAACAAAGCTTTTAGTCCAGGCGAAGGCGAATAGGAGTGGTAGCTATTGACTACGCCCAACATTCCCATGGAGCGACGTCCACCACCAATTTCTATGAACCAATCAGATAACGTAACGAATGATTTATAGCCAATCCGAATATGATAATTACCTAAGTGGCTACGAAGGACTATTTTCTTGTCACTGATACTTAAATTTGTGTGGCTCTAAATTGACTGGAGGACGGGGGAGGGGGAGAGAATCATTTTTCTTCTTTTTCAAAGTCTTGGAATCAGAACGTTCTTCTTCTTAAGTGACAATGGAAAAGGGAAAAGCAGCTATGGAAAATATGAAAAAAATGAAAATTCCACCGGGAAGTAAAGGACCAGCGGCATCTTTAGTAAAAGTTGCCGTATTTACAGGTGCTACAATCTATGGAGCGTATCTCTCGATCTACAATGTACCACCAGGACATCGTGCTGTTGTTTATAGTCGTGTGGATGGGGTTGGTCGTCAAGTGATTGAACAAGGCACGCATTTTCTTGTGCCGTGGCTTCAACGTCCACTTATTATGGACGTTCGTACACGTCCACGTACTTATGCGTCACTTACGGGTACAAAGGATTTGCAGATGATTAATATTTCAATCCGTGTCCTTTCGAAACCGGATCGTTCCCGTCTTCAATGGTTGTATCAGAATCTTGGCATGGACTTTGATGACAAGGTACTGCCTTCGATCGTTAATGAGGTGACGAAACAGGTCGTGGCTCAATTTACAGCTGCCGAGTTGATTTTCCAGCGTGATCATGTTAGTCGACTCATTATTGAGAACTTGGTATGTGGTATATACTAGTAACAAAAGGATTGGAGAAGGTACTGACGGTGATAAACTTGTATGTTATGGAGTAGAAACGTCGTGCGGACCGATTTGCCATTATGTTGGAAGATGTGTCTATCATTCATTTGACATTTGGCGCAGAGTACACGGCTGCTATTGAGGCCAAGCAAGTGGCGCAGCAGGATGCTGAACGTGCTCGTTTTGTTGTCGAACGTGCCCTTCAAGAGAAGAAAAGCACGGTCATTCGTGCTCTTGGTGTGGCCAAGTCGGCTGAGCTTGTTGGTGAAGCCATCAAGAACAATCCGGCCTTTGTGCAATTGCGTCGTCTCGACGCTGCAAAAGAAATTGCGACCGTCATTTCTCGCTCGGCTAATAAGGTTTACTTGACGTCGGACTCCCTGCTGCTCAACATTTTGCAAGACACTAACCAATCTTCGTACGTGTATTGGCACTAGCTGTTTCTTATTCTATGATGTATCGTATATAACGAATTATATTGTCAATGTCGTGCAGATATACGAAGAAGAAATAAGCTGGAGATGTTGCATGGGCCAACAGTCGAATGGAGTGGAGCAAGTGTGGGACTTTTCATTACGGTCACAGGTTTTATTATGTTGAATAAACAAAGGATTTGACCGTAAAATTGTTTTTACACGAATCGTTACTTTTCGTCAAATTGTGTATTCTCAAAATTGCGATTTTGTCGCGGTTTAATTCATGTACGCCACACCATTTTAACCGGATCCCTGTCCACCGCAGAAAAAACTCTCATAATCACTAACGTCATCAGTATGGACAATAGCAGCTGGAATTCCGACGATCGATGGCAGGATTCCAACGATTCGTCATCTCCGGGCTCTAATTTCGACTCAAGTGCAACAAGTGGTCTCGAGTTTCCCGTGTTGCCCTCAATACCATCTGGTAGCATTGATATTGGTGCCATTGCCCCTGTCTTTGGTGTCGCTTCATACGATGATGATGTCGATTATTTGGACTATGATAAAGCTGGTCGCCCTTTTATGGAACAAATGAGTGGTTCATGTGGCACGGCCTATTTCTCAGGCATTATTGGTGGTGGTGCTTATGGTGCATTGCGAGGCTTTTCCCGTTCACCCAGTACCAAGTTTAAAATTAGGATGAATTCGTTATTGAATGGTGCTGCTACACGCGGTTCCAAAGCTGGCAATGCACTTGGTTGTTTGGGTATGTGTCTAATTTGGATCTATGGGGATTGTATTTGATGTTAATTACTGACATATGTGTGTTTGTGTGTGTTGTTTCACCTTGTCATGACTTAGCTATGATCTACAAGGCTATCGAGTATGTCGCAGACTCGGCGGAGATTGAAAACATTGTCAAGTTTGATCAAGTGACGCCCATTTTAGCGTCAGCAGCTACTGGAGTGTTTTATAAGTCGACAGCTGGTCCCAAGGCAATGGTTTTGGCTGGTGCGCTCGGTGCTGGACTCATGACGGTGGTGCAGCTTGGCATCAAACCCTTTTATCCGCGACTATAGATGTGTTTTCAATTGACTGCTGTACATTTTGGTCTCAGTCTGTATGGAGTTGTCAGCGCGGTTGGAACGAACACATGCTATTAAGAGCTACTTGGAAGAAAAAAGAGACGAGCTTCCATATGTACGAACAGGAATGAACCAGTGCAGTGAAGAGGTTGAAATCATGAGATATTGAGGTGCAAATCTAAGTTAGTACCATGGCTTTTCAATACATTTTTACATGTCGTCTTGACAGTCGAATATTTGTAGCCATTTGGTGTCATCGACGCGACGTGCGTGGCAATTTTGTGTCGTCCACATTGACTTTGAATATATAAATTTTCAAGGTTTTCCCGCGTTAATTTCCCGCGTATCTGATTCCTAATTGGTTCAAATTTAAATCGTCATCAATGCTGGAATCCGAGCTGCATGCGCTCAAGACGGAGCTGCAGAGCACGTTAATGGACTTGAATATTGTATGTATGAGCTCTGAAGATGATGACACCGATTGTCTTGATATTTCATCGGCTACAGTAATCACAGAGACGCAAAAAAGTTGGCGTCGTCCACACAGCACACCACATTTTTGCAATAGGAATCAGCCCATTACACGATGGAATCGACGTCAATTGATGCAGGAATTAAGTCTTGTATCGAAAAGACGACAACATTTAGAGAAGCAATTGAAGAAAGAATTTGAACGAGAGCAACAAGTGCAAGGACAGAAACAGGATCGAGATCAACGACGTACTAGTCGTCGAAGGGCGTGTCAAAGTGCAATTTTACAATTGCAACAACAACGTGCACATATTTTACAACAGATTGAGCATGAAATGGCAGCAGATGCAAGTGAAATACCAGAGAGACAAGACTCGAGACAGACTCATGACCAGGAGACTTCACGAAACAACTGGAATCAGATGCTTCCGACTTCTCAAGCTACTATTACTCGACCTGTTAAAGTGCTATGTAATAGTGAAACTCAGTACTCAATTGGAGGAATAGTAACACTTGAGCCGTTGTCTTCATCACAACAACCTCAAGTGTCAACCATGAGAACTGGAGTGTCGTTGCATCCCGCTGTGGACGTTGCTTCGATTGCAACGGAGATAAGGAACACGCAACCAAGACAACTTTACCGGCATACACCAGACACATTGAATGATGTATTTGTATTGCAATTAAAGTTTGCCGAGACAATGTTAAAGCTTGAAAAGTCAGTGCAGATACGTGACCAGTTACTGCAGCATGACAGGATGTCGAGTTTAGCAAACAGCAAGACAAAGACACAAGTGATAGAGGAGACGAGACATACTCATCGTCCCAGTCGACATCGAAGACGGTCTATTCAGTGTGAAGCCAATAGCGACTTGAGCGTCATCTACCAAGAGAACAGCGACAAATCGTTCAGTTCGAGTGCGTACTCGTCTTCGTCATTGGACACGACGCCACATCGTGGCCAAAATATTCGAATGGAGTATCCAAATTTCGAAGTGTCGAGAGCAACTACGGCTGAGACGCATGCACCATCCGCATTGGGTGGAGAGAACTCGCTTAATATGGAGGGGATCGATAGGATGTCCATGGTATCAGCACGAATCACGACGCAGTCACCCCACGAATCCTCTGAGGATAATCGAAACAGCGTTGCCGAGCATACACCTTCCAACGAGCAGGAATCAGAAGTCAACAGGACACCTACAACAGACAGCAGTGCACCAACTCCGACTACTGGAAGTGACCAAAAGTCGACTTCCTCATTGTCCAAGCAGGTTCGTTTTGGTGACGATGCGTATTCCACCCCCGTGCTTGCTCGAAAGTTCAATTTTGATGGCCCGTCGATTGATGAAGATGAGTACGAGGAAAAGGACGAAGAGGCAGGGAGTGTTTTGAGTTTCTTGGGTGGATCCAGTGTTACCAGTATGGAGCTGAATGACGTGTCTTTTTTGCGGGCTTTTGAGCGCTTTCGCCATGAGCTAAATGCGTCCAGACTCCACTCTGTGACGCAGTCGTCGCTCCAACTTCCCCTTGCGAGGAAGTTGTTCCCCGAACAGAATGTGCTACAGACCGTCAAAACGGCAAACAGTGCACCGCGTGTGCTGGAAGGAGTTCAGGAGAATACTGTTGCATCTACTGGTGAAGCAGATGCCTGCGACCACATTACTGTATTTCCAGCGCTTGACGGGTTAAGTATAGAAGAGCTACAAGTGCTACGCGGACGGCTTTGCCTAGACATTCAAGCTGCAAGTGCTCAACTTGTACTGAGTTTTGGTAAAGCACAAAATGTGAATGCTGGATCGCAGGACACGGAGCAAATTCAACATCGCTTACAAATGATGCGAGATGAACTTAAGGCTGTCGACGTACGGTTAAAATTATTGGAATGAATTTTTTTAAATTTGATTGTTAAAATGAAAGTTCGACTACCCAAAAACGTAAATACTGGAAATTGTATCTTTTTGGTAATCATCATCCACCCCAAATATCTGAAGACCAAAAGTGTGGTCTTTGCTATCCACGTGTCCCCGCCTAGTTGAGAGTGACTCTCATTTTGGAGGAAGTGGGGCTCGCTCATCACGCGTCAGCAATAACGTCGACTTGAAGGTAACCGACGCTGTACCTTAAAGCTGCGAAGAGGATAAATAAAGTTAGAGCAAAGACGCTCTTACTGATGACGATGCTGAAGACATCATCATCGTTCAAGCTTTCGCCAGTGAGAGCACTGATGTTCTCGCTGTCTTAGTAACAGATATCTATGTAGTACATTGTGGAAGCACTGCGGCCAAAACGAGTCAGCAGATAATTCTCTGCTGACTCAAGAATCGGTGGTCCGTTTAGTGCAAGATTTCATCGCCAAAGCGGTGAATAAGCAGAAATGACACGCCAATAACAATGAAAGGGCAAACGCTCATTCTTTTATTGCAGAAAATTTAGTTTTACAGTCTACAACAAAACTACCAAAACATGAAGCGACAAACGTGGGCACCAATAAATTGCTGCCCAAGTACATCAGCCCACGCATATTGCGCCGCCTAGGCAACACATACACGATTCAGCTGCCACGAAAGATGCGTACGCATCCTACGTTTTATTTAGGACGTCTTCGTTTTACCCTTTATACGCGGCTTCTTCGATCGACAAAGATAGCCGCTGCGCTCAAGAATCATCTGCTGATTCTGTGGTCACGAACTAGATTTGTAACCTGATCGTTAGAGATACAATATCCTGACGAGCTGTCCCCAGTTTATCACGCAGAGAGCGAAGCCCTCGCTCGCTTTCCAAATGTGCCACACCAGGCCCGAGCATTCGCTGGTTGTACTAAAGCTGCTGCACTGAGTCCGTCAAGGGGTGACGCATGTCCCACTCACGTTCCAAGTCCCTGGGAAGATCCACGAGTTACGCGATCAAAACCGTTGAAATCGGCAGACATATCCGACGAAAGAGTCAACTCAGGTTTTTTCTCCACCTCTCCATCCGCTGGTGGACTCCCGTGGTGGGAAGCGCTTCGTCGTAGAGCTCTTACTAAACCACCGCGACGTAAAGAACACCAACAAATTTTTTTTTGTGTAATGTCGCGGCTAATCGCCTTTACTGGACAGCTGGGGATCTCTCGCCCAACTGTAGGCGGTCGTTATAGCCTATGATGAGGCGCATCCGATGGCATAGAAGAGCCTTTGGAAAAGTAGCGCTTAACGATCTCGTAAAGTGATTATAAATAAGCAATTTCTTCAGGAATCTTGGAGGAGACACGAGCCGCCATCAGGGCTCATCAGGAGGTAAGCCTCCAGGCGCTCAATTCAAACTAATTATGCAACTCGATTACGAGTCGGCCCGAGAGGGGCATGTGAGCCCAACCTTTCTCGACAACCGATGGAACTTGTAGCGTGCACTAGTTGGAGTTCTCTTCTAACATCAGCTGCGAAATACAGTAAGTTTGCCGATCTACCTCGCGACCAACGCATTCCACGTTATGAATGAATGCGTTCCATGTCTGTAACAGCGCGTTACCCTCACGTTTGTGGTTTACGTTGTAATTGATATTTATAAAAAACATCGATGTAGAATTCATGCTCGGTGTGATAATTACTCGCCTTGGCGTCAAGGACATGAAGCCTTGACGAGTCGATATTTTGATGGATCTCGCTGGTCACTCCAGACCAGCGATCTAGGAGATGCTGTGGTATCATCCACGACTTGAGTTCAGGAGCGACAGGTAAGACACCGAGGTCCCTGGTCTTCTGTGTAGTGTCAAAAGAAATACCGTAGCATTCCCTGCCAAGTACGACTCACTACGCTCGGAAGGCGCCGTCTGAATTATTAGACGGCTCATAAATCTTGCGACGCATTGATTCGTTCAATGTGCTACGGCCCCTTTGTGAAGGAGCTTCAGCCTTAAGCTAACCCGTATACGTAATACATTCCATGAGTCGGATGACACATCCGGCTCGCCAGAATATAGAACCTCTAACTCTGGATCAACATTCTCATGTGGCATTAAGTCACGTGAACCTGCAACGTACGACGTTGTGAGCTAATTGTTAGCAGCAACAGACGAATGATCTTCTTCTACTTGAGGTTGAGAAGCTTAAACGGCGGCTGCATGAAGAAACCTAGCCGCGCTCTCAGCTGCCTTCTTGGCAACACGCAAAATTTAGACATGCGTGCTATAAACTGTTGATATAGGAATTAAATATAACTAAAAAGTTTCCAAATATTCAACATATCAATCAGTCAATATTGTGACCAATGGTTGAGGGGGGGGGGTGATGAAATGGGGAGCATAACATTGGCATTAACATTAAGTTTCAATGTAATAATATATTTAGTAAATATACGACAATATTATCTTAGCTGCTAATATTCGGCAATATAAATTTTAGAAGATAATATTGTCGTCGTATCGCCTTGAAGTTGAAGATGCCTGGCTGATATAGGCCATGATATAGCCACACGATTGCCAATGAAGGATAGACGCGCGCAATGAGTGGAGGGTATGTAGTCGACATACAATTTAGTAGTTACATATTGTTAAAAGTAAGGTTATAGTAGATTTAGTTTATTGATGCATCCAAATATATTAAATACAGCTCTCTTTTTCCCTACAACTAAATGTGTCCTTTAGTTGCTTAGATTTCTCTGCCTCTCAATGTACGAGAGGCTTCGAGGCACCTGCTTACACTGTGTCAATATATTCGGAGGGTGTCTCTATACACTTAGTGTCTGGATAAGTGCCGGGGTTGCCTTTGCTAGCTAATTGACCCAGCCATTATAGCGTACGTTGCGTAGCCAAATGCTGTAATCCTTGTCGAGACGCAAGAACTCATGGGTTTCCAATGCCCGCAAAATATAAGACGGTATCTTGTTCCATAAGTGCGGATGCCAGTGAATCAATTCCTTCATTGGCTTCGACGAGGATAGGCAGGTTAAAGTTTCTTTCTTCTTTGGTCGTCTCCACACCATCTCGCAGAAAGCCGTGGGCAAGAGCATCTTTTTGGTTAGACTTTGTAGATTCCACTGATGTCGAGATTGATCTTGTCGATAAATTGTCGAAACAAGCGTAGAAAACCGCTACAAAAAACAATAACCGAGACGCATGAGATGCTCCTGCGTTTTCGAGTGAAATAAATAATGATTATTTAGAATATCAGCAAGCTGTACCTAATAATCGTCGATTTTATAAAAAAAATGTATGCCATTCAGATATTTCGGACAAGCGAACGAATATAAAGTGCGATGATATTCAGACTGTCTATCGAATACTTGTAATTAATTAAGATATATCTGTACGGCAATCTTCATATCTTCTGCCTTGACTAGCTCATTCTGCTGGCTTAATCTTATGGGCTACGCGAGGACACTCCAAAAGAGTACATGGGACCGTTTTCAAGCGCATTTTCGCAATTTGCCAGCTAACAAACAAGTGGACAGAGGCAGGACCAAGATTGCTTCTCCAATCATCGTTCTAATGCAAGCCTTCCACTCACACCACCCATGCGTGCGCGTTAAGCGGGTCGGTTACTTCCTGAGGAATTGTTTCCTCAAGCACTGGGGACTAATTCCCCCCGTGGTTGTTATATGGGGACTTGTTCCCTCAGGCTCAATGCTACTTATTCCCTCGGCTACCTTTAGCTGAGGTAGCGCAGCTACAGCGAAATCCTCTACCATCAGCTCTCCAGTTGATCTAGGATTACCGTGTTGCCGCTTCCGGGCTGTACATGAAAACCAATCTGATACGACGACATCATATCCTTCGTGATATCGGTCACCCGTATACTATATCCCCGTTGATAGAAGCATCGAAAACGTGTTGAACCACTTAATTTGCTAAAAAAAATAAGCTTTAGATCCTGCTTGTCTTTCTATGAACCTCAAAAGAAAACCAATTCTGCAGTTATTATTCAGTTTCTTCCGAGATGGACCGTTTGCTTGATGAGCGTAAGCGATAGATCCAAAGCTTCTTGATTCCATGTAGGTTTGGCTTCTTGTTCATCATCATTCTGTATGGAGTCTTTGATTGACCGACAGTATGTCCTTTTCCTCAGGTACGTAGCCATCTCAAGCGCATGCATCTAAAAATATTTTGGTAGCTTTGCGGAAGCCATCATTACCTTCATCATGTGAATTTGGGTTTGGTGTGCTCTTTCGCACAGGTTCAGGTGTGATACATGAGGTGGGTTTGGTAAGAACTCAATGCCAAGATTCCTGTAATAAAGTGTAATCTCCCCATTCACGAGTTCCCTCCGCCGTCAGATACCACTTGCTTGACCTTATTTGCGGAAAAATGACGCTCTGCCCAGTAGATGTATTGTTTGATGGCTGCATTTACATCCGATATGTTCTTCAAGTAAAGTGGGTACGCCGTAGTATACCGGGAGTATCCATCTACTACAACAAGCACCGCCTTATACGCTCTAGGGCTTGAGTTTTACTTCGAGAAAAGTAAATAGCTGTCTCCAATATAGACTCAGTGAATTTAACTACAAATATTACTTGATTCTTCGTCGTGATATCATGCTTCACATGCTTATGAAGTGTACGTTGTCGGTCTTTACCAATGTGGCATGCTTCGCAATCAATTAATTGGTTGGGCTCAGTGACATTCCGTCTATTAGCTTGCGATCTGCCATGAGCTTCACGTACTGTGGATTAAGGTGGCCGAGCCTTTCGTGCCACCGATGGATATCAGCGTATCCTTGTGTGCGCGTATGATTTACCTGAGGACGTAAGCACTTATTTGTGATTAGCAGTTCACCCCTGTCACTCGTTTTCGGTAGAAAATCATTGATGGCATAAATGTGGAGAGACCACAGTCATCTCTTATACTGTTCAACAGCTTCCGATTATGCTGCCAAAGCTCGTAAATTTTTTCTTCCTTTACGGATGCAAT